CTGCACAAGTCATGTCCCTGCGAAGTCGGCCACGTAAATAGCTTCTCATTCAAGGTCTTTCTTACTAAATTGTATGAACCATGCATTTAAGGGGCACGCAGTGTCTCTTGCTCACAGCTAAATCCCATGTCTTTTGCAGTGCCTGTCATGGTAGCCACTTAATGAGCTCATCCGTGTATGGAAGCTCAGTTCAAACTGCCTATTTTACTTGGCTGTAAAAAAAATAGCTAATTTTTGCTCTACCATATGGTCCCTACTACATTGTTTCATTTGTAAATGTTTCATCATTCATTTCTGTTGCCTGTTCCCCCCCCCCCCCCCCCNAGGCCAGTGAGTTTATCAGAGAGAATCAGGCAAAGAGACAGCTAACAGGACTCCTCCTGGGTCAGAACAAGCCTTAAAGACTGGCCCCCAAACTACCCCTGCCTGAAATGAATCGGAATAGACAGTGGAGCAATTTATGCCCCAGGGCATAACCCAAAAGAATAGAGCAATTGACCAGCAATTTTCAGAGCCTAACAGCTGGGTGTGATGCAAAATCAAGTAGATGGATTAACAAAGATATCAGGGAAAGAGACAGTCAAGAGGGCCAGTGCTAAGACCATGTCAGCTCAGGGTGGGTATGTACATGGCCACAGCTGAGCCCTCCAAGAAGTGACACTGAAGGGTCCATGCTGTGGGAGAAAAGATTTCTCTAAAATAGTCCAGCAAGTCACCAAACAAGCAAGCAAACAACAAAAATGAGACCTGGAGAGGGGGTGAGAAGAATTAGTATCTGCAGTTCTGCAATGAATTACCTAAAATGTCCATTTATTGACCAAAAAAAATAACGAGACATTCAAAGACAAAGACACAGGACAGCATGACCCATACACCAGGAACAAAAGCAAGCAACAGAAATGGCCTGGGAAAGGGCCCAGATTTCAGATTTAACAGACTTCCGAGCTGCCTTTATAAATATGTTGAATGAACCAAAGGAAAATGTGTTTAAAGACGTGAAGGAAAGTATGATACCAATGTCTCATCAAATAGAGAATAGGGATAAAGAGGTACAAATTATTTAAAAAATCAAATAGAAATGATGGAGTTGAAAATAGCCAAAATGAAAAGTTCACTAGAGAGGCTTGCCAGTAAATTTGGATGGAAGGAGAATCAGAGAATTTGAAGAGAGATCAAAATAGATTTTGCAATGCAATCTGGAAAAAAAAAAAGAACGAATACAAATGTTGGACAACGTGAGGAGACAAACATATGAATAATGGGAGCACCAGGAGAGAGAAAAAGGAGCAGGAAAAATAGTTGAAGACATAATGGCTGAAAACTTCCCAAATACACTGAAAGTATTAATCTGCCCATCTAAGAGGTTCAATGAACTCTGAGTAGGACACATGCAAAGACTTCCATAACCAGATACATCATGATAAAAATGCTGGAAGCCACGGGCTGAGCACGTGGCACACTCAGGAGAGTGCAGCGCTGGGAGTGCAGCAGTGCTCCTGCCGCGGGTTCGGATCCTATATAGGGATGGCCGGTGTGCTCACTGGCTGAGCGCAGTGCGGCCAGTCTCAAAAAGGACAAAAAAAAAAAAAAATGCTGGAAAGCCAAAAGCAAAGAGAAAATAGGAAACACGGGGAAAGGAACATGCCTCGAGGACTCCCCACCAGCTCCTAACTATGCACAGAGCACCGCTTGCTATGCAGGGGTCCCAACTTCCTCAGCTGCTTTTGCAGAAGCCCCCGACTAGATGAGCTCCTGCAACACTACCAGAGAGGCCAGTACTCCACCATGTATAACCCTCCTCTCCCTTGCTGTCGGGGTTGGTCACATACTTTGTGCAGCTCAGTGCAAAACAAAAATGACCCCCCCCCCCGGTGTATGGGTCATGCCGTCCTGTGTCTCTGAATGTCTTTTTTTTTTTTGTCAAAAACTGGACATTTTGTTTGCAAATGCTTTCCCTGTGTTTTAGCATATGGGTCTTTTCAGAAGTGAAGGATATAGGCACTTTAGGTCCAATTACGTTTATATTACATTGCAGTTTTTAAATAGCTTTACCATATCTATTATCTTAGTCCATTTGGGCAGCTATAATAAAGTACCATAAACTGGGTGGCTTATAAACACCGCACACTTATTTCTCACAGTTCTGGAGGCTGGATGTCCAAGATCAAGGTGCTGGCAGACTCAATGTCTGGTGAGGGCCTGTTTCCAGGTTCTTGGACAGCCAAACTGTCACTGTGTCCTCACATGGTGGGAAGGGCAAACCAGCTTCCTTGGGCCTTGTCAATAAGGGCACCAATCCCATTCACGAGGGCTCCACCTTCACGACCTAATCACCTCCCAAAGGCCCCAACTCCTAATACCATCACACTGGGGCTAGTGAGGATTTCATATGAATTTTGGGGGGACACATTCAGATCACAGCATTTACAAACCCATTGAACAGAATACCCCATGTTTCTGAGCTGTCTGTTAGATATACACGTGTTAGGGCCGAGCCCCTGGCGCACTCAGGAGAGTGCGGCGCTGGGAGCGCAGCTGCGCTCCCGCCGCGGGTTCGGATCCTACATAGGGATGACCACTGCGCTCACTGGCTGAGTGCGGCCGGTCTCGAAAAGGACAAAAAAAAAAAAGATATACACGTGTTAGTACCTTTTATTTCACTTTACATTTAGGAAATATTTCAGTGTATTAACCATTGCAAGTGAATATAGCGCTTTACTTTTAAATAAGTACTCGTGCATTTCTAGACATGTGAACTTTTTGATGAATGAAAAAGTTCATTAGCTTTAGATGCCATTTGCAAAGTTCACATGTAAGATGTCCTCACCTTCTATACTGTGCTTATAATTACAACAGGTATCACAGGTAGATGGTGGAGACTTGACACGGGCTGGGTCTTCAGAAATTTACCAAACTTCCCTGTGTCTGTTTCATATCTAATGAAATAGGGATACCACTACTTATCTAACACATCTTACTAAAGAGAATTACAGGAGGTATCTTTTATGGGCACCTAAGAAGGCCCCAAACACTTAGCGATATACAACAGATGTTCAATTTCACTCCCTCTTACATAACATCTCCCTCTTACATAACAGATGTTACAAATCCGCACTTAACTCCTTACATATGTTAGGAATCTGCATGAAATCCTGTGGTCTGCTTTCTTAATTCACCCAAGCTTTTATCACTTAGTAAAAACCAGCAGATGCTAGGTGGTGTTTGTTTGAAATTTGTCTGATTTAAACATGTTAATAATACACGTCTCATTAATCAAATTCCTGTAGCATCCACCGAGATGTACTTTATATGCTAACTCCACTCTGCAAAAGGGTGCCTTCCGAACACTGGATTTGCTCAGTTTTCCCTGTGCAATGCAACTTTTCAATGCATGTATGAACTAAACAACATTTTAAATATTTCATTATACCATTTTTGCAGTATTTAATCCTGTGATTCATCTAGTGATCTTCAGTTTTCTGCATTTATTAGGGTAATACCTGGCTTATTAAGCATTAATAATCTTTATTAATATACCTTTCCTTATTGAATACAAAATAAACCATTACAAACTAGAGTCACAATCATCAAGAGTAGATCAAAGCCATTGAGCAAACAGACCAGATATAAAAAAGTTTATTAAAAAAATAGACAACACATGTAAACATCTTTTTCAGTCACAAGCCTTCTTAATACAGTGTATCAGGCCCGTGCCTTCAATCTCTGTAGTGGAAGCACCTTAATTGTTGACTAACAGTTTAAATCAGCTTAATTTATCGTTCAGTGTGCTATGAAGTCCATATAAAAATAAATAAGTAGATGCTGCTAAGTATACCAACACACAGAAAATCACAAATGTACAATAGATCACAGCAAAAAAATAGCTATCTGCAGTAGCATGTGAGATTGAATCCTTATATTGCAATTATCTTTTTAATATAGCTTCATTTCTAATTCATCATAATGTAGAGTTGACTAAAACAAAGCTAAAGGGGAGCTGCAACAGAGTTGAGAAGGACAAGCCCTGCGGACACACATTACAGACATACACATGCACATGTGCACAGATGCCTATGTGCACACATGCACGTGTGCACACACACACCTATGTGGATACACGTGCACACACGTACATGTGGACACATACACGCATGGACACAAGTGCACACATGCATGCACACGTACATACACAACATGCTCACACATGCACCTGTACGTGTGCACACACACACCTATGTGGATACACGTGCACACACGTACATGTGGACACATACACACATGGACACAAGTGCACACATGCATGCACACGTACATACGCAACATGCTCACACATGCACCTGTACACACACACACAAGCACACTTATGCACATGTGCACACACATGCAATGCACACACACAACTTGTACACACATGCACCTGTGCGCACAACCAATACACACGCACACATGTGCACACATGCACACACACAGAGACGGTGTTTTGGTAGAAGCAAAACTCTGGACAGTTTCTTCACTTTTTTTTCCATCTATTGATTATTTGGGACATGTATTTCCTTTACTTTTAGCTGGATGTTACATGCCCCCAAATGCCTGAATACAAAGCAGCTGACCACAGTTCCAAATGTGATAAAATTTTGAGGAAACCAAATCTCTACATGCAATAACCCCCAGAAAGTGAAGCCAAATGACAGAATGGACATTAATACGACAGAACGTTCTTAGTACCTGAGGTTTTGCTGCAAGAATCTGAAACATGAGACTGTTTTCTTATAGCAAACCGTGCTGTGAATGCCGTCCTTCATGACCTGTTCGTCACCTGCTGGGCATACGTGCTGGGGGACTAACACATTCTGAAACAGCCACATAATGTAATTTTCTTTCTTTCCTATCACAGGTGAGATATTTTATTACATCTCATTTATTTTAAATTGCTGACATTTCAGTTTTTCCACTAAACCTTAACCAAGGTACAATTTTAAATAAATAACAAGCAATGTTCGTAATTTCATTTTTCATTGTAAGGAAAAATTTAAATATTTATTATCTGTCTTCTGCACAACCACATTCTAGCAACAGAAAGGAACCACAACCAATTTAACAAAAGACACCCAGGCAAATTTACCAAGCTCCTGGACAGCCATTTCTGTAGCAATAACCCAGGAGTCTATTTGTAGCATATACATAAGATTACAAAAGTGATTCACAAGTCATCTTAAATCATTTAAAATCCTGATCTGCTGTTCAAAGTCCCACTTTTTAAACCCATTTCTGAAATTTATCTATATTTATCCTTTCCACTATATCAGCTTATCTCAACAGATAACATCTATCCACAACGAAATGAAATGTGAAATAACAAATTCTCACAGTACTGCTGTTTCTTGAGTTGGCAATGTTTAAGTGTATTTGAAATTATTACAATACACATTCAGGTAGAAAAAAAAAATAAAACGACATGAATGTTTACAATACATGGTATCTGCAAACTGCGCAAGGCATGTGTAAATTAATTTTTAAAAATTCTGTTAGAGAATGAAAAAGCTTTCCACTTCTAGATACCAAATGAAGGGTTATTGATGAAGGGAGAATACTTTCTACAGGAAAAACCAAGCCTCACTCAAGCGCATAAAATATGGTCTATCACAGGTGAGATATTTTATTACATCTCATTTATTTTAAATTGCTGACATTTCAGTTTTTCCACTAAACCTTAACCAAGGTACAATTTTAAATAAATAACAAGCAATGTTCGTAATTTCATTTTTCATTGTAAGGAAAAATTTAAATATTTATTATCTGTCTTCTGCACAACCACATTCTAGCAACAGAAAGGAACCACAACCAATTTAACAAAAGACACCCAGGCAAATTTACCAAGCTCCTGGACAGCCATTTCTGTAGCAATAACCCAGGAGTCTATTTGTAGCATATACATAAGATTACAAAAGTGATTCACAAGTCATCTTAAATCATTTAAAATCCTGATCTGCTGTTCAAAGTCCCACTTTTTAAACCCATTTCTGAAATTTATCTATATTTATCCTTTCCACTATATCAGCTTATCTCAACAGATAACATCTATCCACAACGAAATGAAATGTGAAATAACAAATTCTCACAGTACTGCTGTTTCTTGAGTTGGCAATGTTTAAGTGTATTTGAAATTATTACAATACACATTCAGGTAGAAAAAAAAAATAAAACGACATGAATGTTTACAATACATGGTATCTGCAAACTGCGCAAGGCATGTGTAAATTAATTTTTAAAAATTCTGTTAGAGAATGAAAAAGCTTTCCACTTCTAGATACCGAATGAAGGGTTATTGATGAAGGGAGAATACTTTCTACAGGAAAAACCAAGCCTCACTCAAGCGCATAAAATATGGTCTTAGCCAAATATCAGGGGCTGACCTTTTAAAATCTACTTTGTAGTTCTGATGGATAAAATGTTTATAAGTTACATTCAGTAAAACTTTTACAAATTACATTCAGTAAAATTTCCTCAAAGAGAGAAACATCATTGCATAACTTAGGTGAGAATTGAACGTATTTATGCATTATAAGCCTAGAGCTGAGTTTAGGTAGTTTCAATAGGACATCTATTGAAACATCTATTGAAACATCTATTCCAGTGTTGGCTTTTTTTTCTTTTTTCCCAAATGGACACCTTTACTTACTAATATCACATTATTCTTGCCAAGACACTAATAAGTCTTTCTTGGCTTTCNCCTTTACTTACTAATATCACATTATTCTTGCCAAGACACTAATAAGTCTTTCTTGGCTTTCTGTTGCCCAAATAACAAAAAAGAAAAGAAAAGGAGAGAAAAAAGAGGAAGGGACGAAGGCAGAAAGGAAAGAAAGGCAGTGAACCCGTTACAATTTCTGTTGTGTTTTATCGGACAAGGAGAGAAATGCTAACCAAGCACTAAGACAGGGCTCAAGGTGACTCTACCCAGCCTAGTTTTACACTGGTGCACATTTCTTGCTTTACACTTTAAAGTGTATTTCAAGTTACTAGATAAGGGTCCAGTGGAAAATACAATACAGATAGCTAATGCAATCACATGCATTTTGGAGAAGTCAGATACCCCTTACCCATGTAGTATCGAGGCCACAGCTTTTGAGAACACAGCAGCATCAAACAACTCCCAGCTGGACACACTGTCTCATATGTTTACCTTAAAAAGAGAAATGCTCCAGCAATACAAGGCACTTAATTTAAGACAGAAATTCTTTCTCCAGTTCATAAATAGACGGTCGGCTGGTCTGGTTCTTCATTCTGCACAGGGGCACAGTGCAGTCCCTGCTCTGACCTTCCACGTCAGCATCCAGTAACGAAGGCATGTGGCATTTAGTTCTCTCCTTGGCACTGAGCAAACGGGCAGGGCTTAGTCCTGGATGGTCCAGTACATGGTCGGCCTGTGCAGGCAGAGGTGCCACTGTCTGGGTGAGAGTCTGCGGTGGATCCGATCGGGTTCTCAGGGAGGCAGGGCGTGGGCGTGGCCGAGGCACAGTACTGGCAGCTCTGTGTTTCTCAGGTGAGACCTCACCTGGCAGGTTACTGTGAGCACTAGGGGAGGAGTGGGCTGGCAGTTCACAGACTCCAGGAGCCGGGATAGTATCCGCACCAGCTGGTTGAGAAAGCCAGACAGTGCACAATTAGAAAGACAGTGACTCCTAAAACAATGAATATTAAACAGAATAAAGTAGGATGACAATTCAATTAAGTGATCACTTTAAAGTAGGCTTCAACAAAATACACCCCAATCCTAAACCTTTTACAACTGTTAGGATATAATGTGTTTCAGTTTTCTTGTTTTGTTTTTTAAAAGTAATGCAGAGCTGGAAAGAGTACTTCAACCTATAAAAATCATATCTGTAAACAGAGCTAAATAATATTCATAGTGCTGAGGACAATGATCATTGTAAGTGTTTTATAAACAGGGTAGATTTAAAAATGCATTAGGAGCCAAGGGCAGC